GGAGCCCCTCCCCTTCTTAAAAATAGGGTTTTGTCGACTCAGAAGAAGAGTATCCATAATATGCGAGTATATGAACATGCGTCAAGAGTTAGTTCGTTCTAAATCACGAAACACATCAGTGAAAGCTCACAATTCCTTCCCAGACTCAAGCCCACTACTATCTCGCTGGAGAGGCGACGGACGAGGAAGGGTGCCGCGCCGTCGCGTGGCACCCCCAACCCACTTAGCACCGTTTTTTTTCTATTTTGACTATTTTGACTAGTAAGGTATGATGTGACAGAACTACACTATTATGAAAAAAACTGAAAAGCTGTGCTAGAAAAATGATACGCTCTACCGCAAACATCTTCTGCGGCGGCGCGGATGGTGTACAAGCGCCGAGCGTTGGCTATTGCGTCAAAGGCGCTTGACGCTGTACTCTGAAAGCGCCCGCTCGCGTTTATATGGCATTAGTACTGCAATCAGATCCAAGTGTATGTTGTTCTCAATAGAATAGAAAATAGCTTTGAAGATATTCCTATTAATCAATCGATGTGAAAGATTTAATGTTCATTTGAGCCAAATTGCCTTCGTAATGAAGTAGAGAAAAAGATTTTTTAGAAAATACGGAATCAGTAGCGAAGTGTCAAGAAGCATCCCTTACTGCTCCTGATGTCACTATTTTGACTACCCATGACGAACATCCCGAGCTACCTAGCCCACCGGGTCGGTTAGAAAATACAATGCAACATGAGCATCTCTGAATGTCTTTGTCTGAGGTGATGCCTGTGTGCTGTAAGACATTGCATGACCCACGATTCTATTCAGTTATGACCGATTTTAAGTTGAATTCGTTTGCATGGTGCATGTAGAAAAGGCTGAAAACGCCTGTTATTACGTCCATGATAATTGACATTACAGACAGCGATGCGGAATCCGACGTCGTGTCACCGGAACTTGCCTTACCCCATCTAAGTTCACTTCGATCACGTAAAGAGTCTACAAGAAGTGCTATATCCGCGGTTCCCAGCGTTCGAAGTATGCAGATTGAAATGGAGGTGAGTTTTTATTCGCCATCCCATGCAAGATAGTGTTAGGCATCAAGAGTAGCCTTAAGAACCTTAGCAGAGGTGGCGTTTTTGTCTAAGTCTGAAGAGTAAAGGAGCACCGGTGCGCAAGCATTGAGAGATCTGTAAATTCGATTTCGTTCATAGCGACACACGAAGAGTCACTCGGGCGAAAGTTAGTGATCCCACGAGCTGAAGTCTTCTTTCCTGAAATTAACTTTGGCAGTGATTACTGCAGATGTGTGACGGTTAACTGTGAACACAAGCGTGCAGCTGCGATGCGGTTGTCAGGTGAAAAGTGTTGTCATTGGATTTCCAAATCCATAGTGTAAACTGTTATAAAATGCACGATTATGCATCATCTGTGATTCAAAAGCACGCATGAGTTCTGATTCAGGAACTTCCGTTAAACAATGTTGCCTTGTTTTAATTTGTCATTTTCCAGGACCTCCGTGCCAAACCAACCCCAATGTCGAAAATTTTCTATTTCAACCGTGACAAATGGGGATATTTCATTTTGGGACTCATCGCCTGTATTATAACTGGAACTGTTACACCGACATTTGCAGTTTTATATGCCCAGATCATACAGGTAGGTGTTTAATCAATCAATTTGGTGCTAATCGTACAGGAAGTAAGCACATTATATCAGGTGCGTTACGCAGTTTAATACGTTTTTGCGCAAATAGAAAGCAGATTCTATCATTATCACCCTTAATACATCCCGACCCTAACCAAAACTGCGTCAGAATAGGCCTCGCCAGTGCTATCCAAGACTGTTTGAATAGCTGACACCGCACCGACAAACAGTATGCATGGCATGCTGGACTTAAGTGCCCCTCAGGAACAACCTGTAGTGGGGTGGTGGATCCCGACTTGAATGTCCGATTAATGTGCAACGGGACTCTGAGTATGAGCTGTTCGCTCTTTAGCGTAATGCATATCCACCATCTTCTTCTATGAGCCCTTTCTCTATCATCTTCTTTTTCACTGCGTATTATTACTGAGTCACAAAATTCACGGACTACGAAAACAGGCATGTTCCTCCTATCCCCAAAGCCATCAAATTCTTCCAACTTATGGACCATTTGTTTTGCTAATTTCTATCAATTCAGGTATACTCGGAACCTGTTGATCAAATGAGAGGCCATGTGCTGTTCTGGTGTGGAGCTTTCATCGTTATTGGTCTCATACACGCATTTGCGTTCTTCTTTTCGGTCAGTTCTTTTCTATTTATTTATTGATCAAGTCAGTTCTCTCAAAAACTTTTCTCATAGTCCTCTTTTTACATTTCCCTTTTGTCTTTTTTATTATTTTTTTTAGATGATTAGCCTATTGTTCTCTGTATTTGCCAGTCTTTTTTCCATTTCTTGAGAAAATTGCTTGAAAGTTGGTATTCCATCTTACATCTATTTTTGGAAATTCAGGCTATTTGTCTGGGTCGTTGTGGCGAAGCGTTAACGAAAAAGTTACGTTTCGAGGCGTTCAAGAACCTTCTTCGACAGGATGTGGGATTCTACGACGATATCCGACATGGTACCGGTAAGCTCTGTACGCGATTTGCTACAGATGCACCCAATGTTCGATATGTGAGTGTTTCTTGCGATTGTAATTACTTTTTATTTTTTAGTCCTTGCTAGTACTTCTTACATGACAAGAATAATATATTTGCTCAGAATGCACTTCGAATGCTCAGGTTGTTGCTTTAATTGTAAATCGTTTTTTTGTACTTGAATAATAGCGTTGATTGTGGGTGGTCTGCCCTGCGTGAGATTTTCGGGTACCCCCATAGGAGTGGATACGGACCTACTTATTCATGAGACCTGGCTGCCTCCTTTTTCAATAGCCCTTATTTTTCGTAGGGCTTTCCTTGTTGCCATCTAGTTGTCTTCTATCTCAACAGAACTAATAACTTGACTGATAACTTTGCTGGGTGGATATGGTAACTACTTGCCATTTCACTGAAATCTCTAACACCAACTGCTGAGCACCACCTCAAACAGATTTCTAGTTGAGCGAAGTAAATACGCATGAGAATGAGCCTCTCTCCCCAATTTTCTTTGCCTTATTTTTTGATTTTGGTTTTACCCCTTTTCTCGGCCTCACTGGTATTTTCTCTTCACTGTAATTGATAAAATGGTTTCTGAAAAAAATAGAAACGAAAATTTGGTAGGGAAGTGAAGCACGCGTTGCGGCTACGTCTATTAGCTCCCATTAAAAAATATAATATAAAAGAAGTAATATTTGTGCATTTCGATATTTGGTTTCAGAAAAATTGTCGTTTCTTTCACGGGTACTACTTTTTTTTGAAAACTCTCTCTTTGAGGTGTTCACTCGACTTCCGGGTGTACTTTCATCGGCGGTGACAATAATTTGAAAACTCTCTCTTTGAGGTGTTCACTCGACTTCCGGGTGTACTTTCATCGGCGGTGACAATAATTGGAGCTTTGGTTATTGGATTTATCTTCGGGTGGCAGCTGGCTTTGATTCTTATGGTCATGGTACCGTTGATCATTGGCAGTGGATACTTCGAGATGCGCATGCAGGTAGGTGAATATCTGATGATTGAGGAGTTTCTGTCGAGCCCGGTTTCTTTACTACAACTTCTAATTTTCTATGGTTGTGTTTGGTGAGTTTTCCTGATTCTGAGATATAAAAACCCATTTCTTGAGTGCACTATAATTTAGTTGTAATCTCGTATTGACAGCTCCATCCCCCGCCTAGAGTTCAACTTTAAAACAAGACAGTTGGAAATCCTGACCAATTTAGCAGCTGTACGGAGTTGGTACTGGGTGAGTAGAGACTGAAGAACGTTGAACATAATTCTACATAGGAAAGCGATATGGAGACATTTTTTGTCATTATCCCACTTTAGTCGTCCATGATAACTCAGTTACCGATTAGTAGAACTGAATTGGGGTCTAGTTGTAGCGACTTCTTTGTCTTGGGACATACCGTTACTTGCTCCAAACGGCTCCGCTTTATCCGCGACCTGCTAGATAAGAATAGACAATAGCATCGATCTGGAAACTGCGAGTGCTGCAATCCGTTTTATTCCCTTCAGATAACCCATAAAATCTTTCATTCCAAGTTTCTGTATCTTTCAGTTTGGTAAAAAGATGCGTGACACAGAACTTCTTGAAGAGGCTGGGAAAGTTGCCTCTCAAGCCGTGGAGAATATTCGTACCGTACACGCCCTTAATCGGCAAGAGCAGTTCCATTTCATGTACTGCGAGTATTTGAAGGAACCGTATCGGTAGGTTGCATCGATACTATTCGTTTTGTTATCACGATCTTCAACTATAATTACTTATTTTTTATGTTTTAAATTAATTTTTAACTATTTTTAATCATTTTGTACTTTTAACATAGTATATTGAGAATTCTCTACCCTTTCATTTCGTTTTTGTTTTTTTTTTGTCGCGACTTTTATATTAAATCCATGTCATGTATCACTCAACAAAAATAGACTAAAGTTACGAATCTGTGTGGGATCGAAGCCAACGGTTTTCAACAACTATTTCCGATATATCCGAAAGTTCTTTCAGAGTCATAGTCCACTTTGCAAATTGAACATAACAGGCCGAATCAGTGAAAAAAGTCGAATTCAAATTTCAGAGAAAATCTTTGCCAGGCGCACACGTACGGGGGTGTGTTCGCGTTTTCACAGTCGTTGTTATTCTTTATGTATGCTGTAGCATTTTGGATTGGTGCAATCTTCGTGGACAACCATAACATGCAACCGATTGATGTTTACCGGTCAGTGACATCTTTTCCAACCTCACTCTTCTAACCTTTTTTCCCCGTTAAACTTACGCTGAGTTCCCGCTGTTTCCTAAAGTTTGGGTACTAAGTCTTAGTTCCGCTCATGTTCCAAATTTTCACGGATTTTAGTGTATTTTTCGCGTTCATGTTTTGTGGACAAATGGTCGGCAACATTTCGTCCTTCATTCCTGACGTTGTTAAAGCTCGCCTGGCTGCATCGCTCCTTTTCTACCTCATCGAACACCCATCAGAAATTGATAACTTGTCCGAAGATGGTGTCAAGAAGGTAAGGCAACATTTGTTTTTTGCTATCCTTACATTTTCAAAGACAAAGGTTTCGCGATAGTTCTGCGACTGTAATTCAATCGTATTGGGACCCAATTCTTTATGCACTGTGTATTTCCACATTGTATGTCCTAAAGGCCCATTGCGTAGGCCTACTTGTGGGGCGGCTCATCTCCTGCTCTTCTGTGTTCTTTCATCGGGACATCTACGAACAGCAAGGCGCTCCCCAACTTGCGCGCACTGTAAGAGATCAGAGGGGAAGAGACGGTTCTGGCATCTTCTTCCCGAACGGCGTGTCGTGCTCGCCGCACGCGATCGCGCTTTGTGGTGGGAAAGGCCCGAATCCCTTGTGGAAGGATACGAAGAGTCGCAGCGGAACCACTGCCACAGTCTGTGGGAATTCGTAGAGAATTGCCGTCATCCGGAAAGAGACAGATGATAACATGGTGCACCGTGTAGGCCTACTAACAACAAATTTCTGCACTGGGTCTTTTTG